CGATTTCGGTATGCAGAGCTCGACAGGGCCGAGGTGAGAGCCAATGCCTAGGTGACGGTGGGGACGGAGGGGGCGGGGAGCGGCCTAGAATTGCGGGGCTGCGACAGCGGAGCTTGATTATTCTCACGATTTTAGCATGGTATGTTGATTTTCACCCAGATAGACAACAACATCAAAATTTCCCTTTCAGCACATCAATGCATACAGTCGCATCTTAATATGCTAAAGGAAATTCTTGCACTTTAAAATTAATTAAAGTACATTGTATATACAAGGGGATAATTATTTTTACGAGAAACTTCCATTACAACATTTACATTGTGTTCATGGGCATGAGCACAAATATTCATGGTCGTCCCCTACTTCTACGATGCTCGACCTTCCAATCACTTCTCTTTTAAGAATTTTTTAGGTTCCTCTGTTTTTATTTTTTATTTTTGAAAATTTTTGTGGTGAAACACCAGAATAAAATGACTCTTTGAAACTTCTAGATCGACTCACAAGCGATGCTTTATTTAAAGACATATTACTAGGCTTTTCTCATGTAATCATTTCACCAAGATACCAAAGTATATCAAAGCCAAATTTATTTAACAAATATTTGGCTCTAATTACAGAGCACATGGTAACATAGAGCATGTAATGTCAAAGTGTACCCCTCTTCCGAGGCATTGCCATGTCATGAAAGAACAATTCATTAACACAAAGTAATTACCAATGCATGATATAAGCGGTTTCTTGCAATTTTAGTGTATTTGGAACATAGAGAGGGAGGAAATAAGTGTCATCTCTCATAATAATTACAAGCAGTAGCGACAAAGTTAAAACTATAATTTTTATTAGCATCATCATGAGCACAAACGAATCGCAAACCACCAATATAAGAAACAAGATAAGACCATCAATTGTGGATGCAAGATTAGCTATTGTATTTTTGGCATATATAACAATAGTAAATTCCTGTCCATATAATTCTTCTATATGGTCATAATGGCCTTCATTATAGTAAGTATCAAAGTCATCAACAAGGGACTTTTTATCTAAGCATACAGGGTAACCAACAATAGATTGAGGTAAAGAGTTAGTCTTATTAGAAGATTGACACGGGTAGCTAATCCACTCTCCCCATTTTGTTCATCACTCTCCTCGTCTTCTTTCTCATCTAATGAGCATTTCTTTTTAGCAGTTTCCTGTTCCATAACCTCACTTGTTGTTCCTACCAAACATAAGCCTCTTCTCCGGCACCGGCGACTCTCTCACGTTGTTCAATAATTCATGAATAGTATCTAAAAAATTAAACAATATCCAAGGATCTTATATTTCAAAGATTTAATAGCACAAGCAACATCATTTGTTTCAACTTTATCAACCACAGAAGCAATTTCATATGTGGCCTTAAAGTGAAGAAAAATGTTCAACTTTCTCTATCTCATAAAAATTATACTCATACTTAACATAAGAAGCTAGTGTATCATTGACATAATACTCACATTGGAATAGAAAGTGTTTACAACCTTTCCTAGAGCAACAAGCTATTTGATATATAGATTTCACACAAATCACCAACCAAGCCATTCAATTCTTTTAGCATACCCTTCAAGTGTTTCCCTTTCTGAGAAGAACGGTGTTTCGGAAACAAAATCATGCTTTCCCTATGTATTTTCCCATACTAAGCCAGGTTGGATATTAGCACACGCACAAATGGATGGAAGATAATCCAAGTATTAGCTTCTTCAGTGGCGAGGATTTTAGGAGGTTCCTCAACTCTTTTCTTAGTAAGTAGAACAACTTTATTTACGTTTCCTACATATAGTGAAAGATAGAAAACATATGCAAAACCATAAATCTATTTATTGGTAAAGCAAATAAATGCACCCGAGAATGTTCACCCTAGCGGCATATTCCCCAACAGTGTCGCCATCAAAAAGCCTAATAATCTGCAAATGCAAGGAATTGTTGTACCATTTTTCAATATGGAGGAGGAAGTATCAAGTGTCGATATCACAAGGGAGCGAAAGGTGGGAATTTATTTCTCTCATGCTCTATCTGCCCACCAATACACCCCTATGTACACTAATGTTTTCTTTACATAGACTCTCAGACTAAAGATAGTTTGTAGGTATAAAGTGGTGAAGAGCAAGATTATTGAGTATTACTAGATAAAAGTTAGTTGTAATATAAAGTTGCAATAAAGTAAAAGGAAGCAGCTATGAAGTAGTGGTTGTAGGTGCTGTGGAATTGTCCCTAACTAATTGGCTACAATACAAGACCGATAATCATGCATTGTAGTTTTATATGTGGGAGATGTTTGTGCTAACATGCAGCAAAATGCATTAGCTAACATGTTCTTTTGATTGAAAACATTACCAAGCATGCGCAAATACTTTGGATTTAAGGTAAAATACAACCATGGCATTAATAGCCATGGGTTCTCTTTACCCCATATGCTTTGACTTCTACACTCTGGCACCGTAATATCTGTCACTCCTGTCACCCTACGCATATTCACCACAAGATATTACTAAAACTAAAGTGTGATCTAGCATACAACACCATATCATAACATACAACTCAAATCAATCATAATAGATCACCAAAGCCACAAGACAAAAGAAATGTACCCATACATAATGAAAGTGCAATAAATCTTTGGATACAAATTCTTCACATCAAACACCATGTTTAACAAGAGGATCACATACTTTTGTAGATAAGTATACCACTGTTGAGCGGGAGCTGACGACGATGGAGATGGTGGTTGTCGATGTAGACACTGGTGGTGATAACGGTTTCCGACGTCTTTCCCCTGCCGCCGATAGTGATTAGAATAGATCTCTCTTCTTCTT